ATTTTTCAGACCAAGAACCTTGAGTGCAACGAGGGAGAAAGCGAGGAACCGACAAAGAACAGCAGCAACGAGAGCGTGTACGGACGGAGCAGGTCGAGTGGCGTTTTGCTCGGGCTGACTACAGCGGCGCCGGACGGAGCAGCGGCACCGGAGCATGCGGGCGACATCGACCCGTGGCGCACGGACAAACATTTATATCTGATCTGTGTTNCTGTTCCTCAACCACCGGCACCGCTACTAGCGTCTGGGGCGGCGGCGTTACAAGGGGAACAAAGACGAGGACGAGGCGGCACTGCAAGTTCTAGTCCCTGTGCTGAAACTCGACCAACAGCTGCGGCAGGAGGCACGGCAGGTGCCGTTACAGGGGGGACGATAGCTCAAGCTGCGGCTAAGGCGGCGGCGGCCGTCGGAGCAGCAAGCATAGGTCAAGGCAGTGGCAGAGCTAGACGGGAAACACAAGGAGGTGGGAGTGCAGGGGGGGGGCGGAGGAAGGGGTAGTGGACGAGGAGCACCGATGGGGGTACGAGAGGCTGGGAGAGGGGCAGCGGCACGGGCAGGTGGAGCGGCGGGAACGTCAGCTCCCCCTCCCGTCGGCGGGGGTGGTGTTGAGGATAGCCAACGGTTGTCTCCTGCAATGCGGGATCATTTCCGTACCGTCAAGAAGAACATCGACGCCAACATTCTCCATCACAGCGGCGACGTGGCGGCACCTAGGGGAGGCCGTGGAAAGTTCCCCTACAGCAGCCCCCTCATTCTCCCCAAGTGTGCTACGATGCAGAACACCTCAGGTATGCACCCGACGTCCGGGTTTCCTTTGCTGCTTTGAACAGCAGTTTTGTACTCCTGGCGATTGACCGCTTTCCGTCCATAAGCTACGCGAACTCGGTTTTCGTTTCTCATGCCTCCATGACCGCTGTCCACTACGTTTTTGCGCAGGATTGCCGAAACTTTCTCCGTTCCTTCTGAAGCCACTGCTTGTTCGCGTGGATACCCGAGTATTTGTTCCCGGAGCTAGCGCTGGCGGGAATTGCGTGTCCAAGGTGCGGGAAAAGGGGTTCGCCAGATGGATGGAATCCCAAGGGGCCACGGCGGGTGTTCATGGAGGAAGACGTGGGGTACATCATAGGATTCCGGTAAGCCCAGTCAGCGTGAGGTTTTTTGGTGGTACGCCGAGTATGTGGTGTGTTACAATTTGTAAACCGCGCGGATCAGTTCGCCGCCTGTTTGACTGTCGGCTGTCCCGCTTGTTTGTTCGCAGACAGGTACAAGTGCGAGCGGTGTGTTGAATACAACGGGATCGTGGAGGAGTCGGAGCAGAGCCCTACCAGTTTCAACGCGTGGGATGTCGGATGCCTGGATCGCCTTCCTGACTACGTGTCGAAGGAATTCCCTTTCATTCTGACTCATCGGTCGGGTATCGACATTCGTCTTGTCGACCGGCTCGCAGACGACCTGGCCCATGGGAAGGGCTTCTCCGCCGCTGCCAAGTACATCCGCCAGGTAAATTTTTGTACCATTCTTTCATTTGGTCAGGGAAGTTTCGCGAAACAATGTTCCCGGTACTGTCTACGACGTGCCGTTCTGAAACATGTTGCACCCCTCC